GGATGGCTCCTTGCTGAGTGGGAGTAGCAGTTACAAATAACATGCCGAGGTAATAGGCAAACACCAAAGTTTCAATTCTATTTTTTAACCGAATGGCCCGCAGCAAGGCCGTACGAGTCGTGTCCATGCTTTCTACGAGATCATGGGTCTCCGCAAATGGAGGTAGCGCCACAAATGAAGGTGGAGTTACAAGAAAACCAGAAGGGACGGGAGAGGTTATATCTCTAATGATTGCGTGGATGTCCATTTTTTTCTTTTTTTTTTTTTAGAAGTTGTAAAGATAAAATGGATCAAAGTTTTGACCTTGGCTATATATACAAAAAAGAAACCCTCTTTCGATCTACTATGTATTTTTTTTTTTTTTTTTTTTTTTTTTTTTTTAATCACACCCTTATTATCAAAACATCATTCATCCCTTACTTCTTTCTATCACGCAATATACACCTTAATTTAATATTCTTCCTCCTTCGGTATCCCTTTGACGATCTCTATACTTTTTAATTAGACTAGTACTAATTGGGGTTGATACGACTTGACCTTCCATTGTGCGCAACTTGATAACATTCCAGTCAAAAACCTGATGAATGTAGTATGAGCCTAACCATTTCAGTTCAAGCTTTACGCTACGATTATATTGTCGGGACGCACGGTACACTAATACTTTTTCTTCTATTCCAAGCTCAGTAATATTTTGAATTTTTCTATTGTGAAGCTGTTTTTGCCTATTCTGTGCCTTTTGTACTTGAAAAATGGCAGCTTGGCGGATTACTGGTAACATATCTACCAGCCCTCGAACTCTTTGGGCTATAGTTTCCCCAACACTTTTGCTTGATTGAATGGGCTGTCTTGCATCTCGATCGTAGGTTAGGTAGAATGGTGTTATCCTTGTAGTAGAATGCTTCGAAGTTTGATAGGCAAACAATATAGATGGGATAATTAAATCCCAATCTGCCACATTTTTCACGGTTTTGGCAATCGACTCGTACAGGGTCCAGTTAAACCGTTCTACCAGCCCATTTGTCTGGGGAAGTATGGCGTCGACAAGACATGTTTAGTATGGAACTTTTCCAGTAATTTCTGAACTAGCTTATTTCGGAAATGAGTTCCTCGATCTGACAGGATCAACTCAGAGCACCCGTGAAGGCAAATTATTTCATTGTACAGGAAATCGGCCACTTCCTGAGCATTTGCTGAACTAATAGCTTTAGCTTCCGGCCATTTAGTCATATAATTGTTGCCACCACTATGTACCTACTTGTTTTAGATGTGATAGGTAGTGGTCCTACAATATCTATACCAACCTGATAAAAAGGAGCCACGACCGGTATAGGGTGTAAGGGAGTAGTTAGCCGGGGCTTACCTCATCGTTGACATTGGTCACAGGACTTCACATACTCTCGTATTCGTTCATATGATTTGCCAGTAATAGAGTTGCCTTATTTTCTCAAACATGGTTTCGATCCCTAAATGACCTCCTAGTGGTGATCATGAACCAGATATAATACTGGTTCCACTTCTTGGGTTTGAATAACCCTCAATGGCTTATTTGAGTTTCTGCTGTTGTTTCAGAAAATAATCTCATCTTTCAAGAAGAACATCCGCCCATTATTTATAAGTCTTTTTCTTTCTTTCTTGGACAATCTCGGATCAATATATTGTTCTTGAAGAAAGCGCTTTAATTGATTAAATCTTTTTGGATCCATCTTAGTACTTCTTGTACCAGGATACCGACTACCTGGTCTGAATTTTTGCTTAACGTTGGATTTATGCTATTAGGAAATTCCACACAGAGGATTCTTCCTATAGTTTGTTTGGTATTTTAACTTGTTCAGGTTCTTTAATATCTTC